CCATGCGTTCACACGCTTTACACAAGCTGAATCTCGGAAGTCGTAGATCCGAGTCCTTCGTTCGAATGCTCATATTGGAGAGGGTCCAAGGGTCTAGGGCGCAGGGGTCGAGGGTCGAGGATCTATATAAGGTGTAGGTGAGAGTACCTTCTCAGTGTGCCAGCAACCCATCTAACCTTTTCAGGAGTTCAAGAAGTGGGAGTTTCGGAAAAAGGGCGACGCTAATATAGTTACTTGAATAGCAGGCGCCCTATTGAACTCACCCAATCGTAAGGTACCCCTAATTTTTCGGAAGCTCCCGGATAGACTTGAAAACAAGAATTCCTCAGCTTTCCAGCCCCCTACAGATGGAACAGTTCTTACCTTGAACTATCCGAAACTAGCCCATGATATACTATACCATACTGTTCTATGATATACTATATCCGGTACTACACTAGTAAGCCAGCCTTCAGTCTGAATTCATTTCGAGACGCACCCTCCGCCCCCCAACACACACGCACACACGCGCAAGAACAAAAGCTTGAAGTTCTAAGCCGAGCTATCCCCAGAACTCTTGCAGCATGTACTACTACCCTGCTCACCCGGCCTTCTTTGCTGGAAGCTCTACACAGGTTGAAAGATCGTACAGTATAGTATTTTACAGTACAGTATGACTTAGTACGTATAGTATAGTACAGTAATATCGACCCCGAACCTAAACCTTGACCTGCTGCGTTCCTGCAAGGAAGGCGGTGGCGGAGCAAACGCAGCAGGGCGGCCCAGAGTTGACGAGCGGCGCTGTGTCCGACTCGGCTTATTGGGGCTTTTGGGGTTTCGGGTTTAGGGTTTAAGGTTTAGCGTGCAGGGGTTTAGGGCTTGGGCTTTAGGGGTTAGGGGATTGGTTGGCTTGTCGTGAGCAGTCGCCGATCTTGCACACAGCTGGGGGTGGATCGAATGAGGCTCGGTTCTGAACCCGTGTGCACGCAGAGCCGTTCAGCGATTCTCCTGCTCTTTAATTTGTGTCGGAGCTCCTGTTCCTCTAGTGAGCCTTGCTGCTACTACTACTACTACTGCTGCTGCTACTACTACTACTACTGCCACCACTATCACTACTACTACTACTACTACTACTACTACTACGACTACGACTACAACTACGACTCGACTACGACTACGACTACGACTACGACTACGACTACTGCTACTGCTACTGCTACTGCTACTGCTACTGCTACTGCTACTGCTACTGCTACTACTACTACTACTACTACTGCTACTACTGCTACTTCTACTACTACTACTACTACTACTACTACTACTACTACTACTCCTGCTGCTGCTGCTGCTACTACTACTACTACTACTACTACTACTACTATTACTACTACTACTACTACTACTACTACTACTACTACTACTACTACTACTACTACTACTACTACTACTACTACTACTACTACTACTGACTACTACTACTACTACTACTACTACTACTACTACTACTACTACTACTACTACTACTACTACTACTACTACTACTACTACTACTACTACTACTACTACTACTACTACTACTACTACTACTACTACTACTACTACTACTACGACTACTACTACTACTGCTTAGCAAGGCGGATGACTGATGAGTATGTGCTGCCCTATGCGACCGTGCGTGGAGGGCACAAGGAGCCTCGCCTTCTTTCGCCACATTCGGAATCCATCTTCAACAATACCCATAGGCCCAAAGTAGTTCCTTCTTGGGATTACCTTATAGAGTTCTATATATGAACCCCCAAAAAGGAACTACTTTGGGGCCTTTGGGTAGAATAATGGGTTCCGAGGATGGTGTGATGCAGATGATGATGTTGGCCATGGGGATGTTGATGATGCTGATGTTGGTGATGACGATGTTGATGACGATGATCCTGCTGCGCCTGCTGCTGATGATGATGATGGTGATGATCATGGATGATGGTTGCGATGATGTTGAAGACTATGGCGATGATGGTGCGCACGCAAGAAGAAAACGATGACTTTCTTTGCCATGAGAATAAGCCACTTCCAAGCAGGATGGTATCCATGAATGTTGCGTTTGTTGGCTCATATCCTTCATGGTTGGCTTTGTGACTGTTGTGGCGGTTGCTGCTGTTGTTGTTGCTGTTGGTATTACTGTTGTTGCTGTTGTGATGGTGGCGGTGGTCGTCGTCTCCTGCTGTCATTTTTATGCAGGTAGAGACTCACTCGATCGAACATGTGATGCTAGCAGCTTTATCTGTGACCGGATAGCTGTCGCAAAGCATGTAATGCAACATGTCATGGTCTCTAAGCCACGGTGTGTCTGTGTACATCTGTATGTACGTGTGCGCTTGTCGTGGTCGCATATGACATGCATGGAAGATCATCATCGGTGCTTTATTCACCACATCATTGTCGATACCTCAGAACACATCGAAGGGAGATGGGATATCCAGGAACCAGGTTAGCACCTAACCTTGTGATTATACCATTATTCTAGAGAGTACTACAGCATAAAGTAGTCTACTATATTATACTCTACGATGCTCTACTATACTTTGTCGTACTGCATTTTACTATAACGTACTATACTGTACTAACTGATGCTATATTCTACTGCACTATAGTTAATGACACTATAGTATATCATCTTGTTATACACCCTTAACTCTACATCCTGAAGCTACCTGCGGACGTCCACTCGCAACACCACGTTCAATACTTGGATTTTGATGGCCGTAGTTGATCTCGAGATGAAGAGCTGACGGGTACAAGCTACGGTACCACCACAACTGTTTCGAGTCGAACTGCAGGCTCTTCTGGTCGGATTGCACTTCGATCAGTTACCGTGCCGCCATGTCACGCTTCTTGCAGTTTGCCCCTGTGCCAATCCCAAAAGGTCCAAGTACCACTATGGTATATACGTAGACCCCCAAAAATACCCTATCAGTATATACCAGAATGATCCCTAAACCCTAAACCGACCCTGTGGGAACACAGGAGCAGAGTGGCCAGAACTTGTGGTATGCCGAAGCCTCTGTGGTTTAGGGTTTAGAGTTCCTTTTGTGGATTACTAAACTAGAAGGGTACTATAAGGGCTCCTTTAAAGGGCTACTATGAGGGTTTAGGAGTCTCGATTCGAAGAGACTCTTTCTCGGTTGCAGCTGAGCCGGGACGTCGATGTGAATAAGGTAGGGCCCTAGATAATTACATTTTTTAGTTGTTGGGGGTGGGTCCTTGGTATAGTTTTACAAATAATGGGCCCCAAAACCCTAGAGAGTGGGCTGTCGTGGGGCCTGGGTTTTTGCGCTTCGTAAATTTATAGAAGATGTTTCCATGTATAGGCATATATATATATATATATATATTATATCATATCTGTCTCCAAGTTGCGACTGCATCTCTCCAATATACCTTGGCTGTGGGTTGGCTTCAAGAAAACAAAAAACAGGCAAGTCATGCTTGCCAGATTTACTAATTACAAGTTACTAGTTTACCTGCACATGCAAGACGACATGCATGCACTGCTTTTCATACCGGCACTGCTAGTCCTAACGCTTCGAGCTTGGCCTTTTCAAGACCTTGCTTGCCGGCTTCTTACTGCAGGAATACGGCCTACTGGATTTCTTTGCCTTCTTCACAAAAGAGGCCAAGTAGTCAGTGCTCTTGGACTCCACAGCTTCATTATGAAGTTTGCAAAAATACAACACCTTAAAGGCATGTCTGGACGGTGTGCAACCATTTAGGACACGAGCATAACCTCTGAACCAACTGAAGACCTGTTCGGCCGCACTGCTGTTGGTGCGTTTGAACCTTAGGCTCAGACGCTTCTGATACAGCGGGTTACATTTGCATGTCTTCGTGTGGCCATGCGCGTGAAAAGCGTCTACTGCCCAGTACTTCACTTGGTTCATAACCTTGAACTGGCGAGCATGGGGAAGGAATGAACAGGCTCGGTCGACGATGACCCCGTCGAGGTTGGGAAACTTGGGAATGACATCAATGAGCGCGGCCTCCAGAACTGCATTCCCCTCCGGCTGGGACATGTGTTTCGCCCAGAGGATGCGCTGATCGGCAGGGTTCACCACCATGAACCACCCATGACCGAACGGCTTTATGGCATCCTTGCCACGTTTGCCAGGATTGCCGGCGTGCCGGTGGCTGTTAGCACATTTCATATGTACTTTCGCGTGGCCGTCTGCCACCACCTCTGTGACGGTCTTCCTGTTGTGAGGAGGTAGTACATGATGGAGCACGTGGTGTTCGTATATCTTGAGAGTCTCCGGTGACAACTCCTTCCCTATGACGATGTCCAAGTGTCTGTCGATGGGATACAACTCGGTCAATGCCGTGTAATAGACGATCGCAGTGGCGTACGTCTTTCTCCACTGGCCTGATAGCTTCTTGGTGTTGAGACCAAAGGTGTGACGATACACATCCTGTACCGCCCTCGACGATACAAATGCCCGAAACTCCATTCTGGCATGGTACTCCAAGAAAATCGAGCTAAAGCCGACCTTGTTGGAAATGAATAAAGCACGAGCCTTCTTCACGTCGATGGGGTTTGCCGTGTTCACCTTCTCGGAATCTTGGACTGAGAAGTTCGGACCGAAAGTTCTCCGACAGGCATATGAGGTACATCTCCACGTCCGTACCTTGATCTTGATCCGGCCAAGCATGTCATAGAGCGTAGATTCGATCTCGTGAGATGGGGACAGGCTTCCTCCGCAGGGGCATTTCTTCAAATGCGTTTCGAAGACCTGAAGCTCATTCATCACGGCCGCCGGACGCTTCATTGGCATTGTGCTTATGACTGTAGACCCACCCCTCTACAGAAACACGATGCCTAGAGCCAGTCCGAATATGATGCGAGTACAATGGAAGCTGCAATGCAAGATAGGTTCGGCGTCATAAAGTGGAAGCACATGCAACATGTACTCTGTCACTGTTTTCCTCTGAGTGAACCGCGATCGGTGAGCTGTGAGAAGTCAAAACTATTCCAATCAGGCATTGTAATCTGGCGACAATGGCTCGCCATCGGAGTCGTCCATGTCAATCCTGGCTTGTTTGGCCGGCGGGGATGCGATGAGAGGACTGGATGACATACCTCCAGGGACTGAATCGGGAGGATTAGAGGCCATTGCGGGAGTAGAAGGACGCGGAGTCATGAGATCCGGCTCTGTGAAATCTCCCTCTGCCCAGCGATCGTAAGTGGCACCCCTGCGCAGGTATTCCTTCTCCTCTGGCGAGGCAAGCAATTCAGAGACGAAGTTCGTCTCTTCCTCCACGTATCGATTAAAGTCCTGGTACTTGGTGTGCTGTCCCTTCTTGTAGTGGTCGTAATGCGGCTTGTTGGTTGGCTGTAACCAATCTTCCGTAATCCCACTGTTGTTGATGCAATGGATCCTTTGGCTTTGGTGTTCCGAAGCCAACCGTACATAGATCGCGTTGTTGCCGGCAATGATCACAGAAGCCCTCTTCAAAGTAGCCATGATGTGAGGCATCTGGGCATCATTTAAAGCCGGCTTGAACATAGCCAAGAACTGCTTCCAAGTGATCATAGGCAAGCCAACATACTCCGGTTCCTTCTCAGGGGACCATTCATTGTTAAGAAGAACCCGGCACTGATTCCTGACAAACTTAGCTGCGCGATAGCGTGCATCCACCAGACCATTCTCGCCCACGTCCAGAAACGATTTGATATCTTCGACATTGATGGAGGGAAGGAGCGGATCGTCCAAGATGACAGGGATGTGAATCTCCCCGGGTCGTTCTTTGAATCCATCGATCTGTTTGGAGCGTTGCCATCCCGGGAAGTAGCCGTCCATATTGCGGGCCTGTATCAGGTAGCGAGCCACGGCCATGACCATGATGATCGCTGCAGGAGTCTTTCCAATGCCTGGCTTTCCAAGAATGATCAAGCCAAAACTCAACAAGGTCGGCAGAATCATTGGTACCACCGTCCGCTGGAACTCGCTGTTCAAATCACGGAGGAGAAGGGGAAAGAAGTACTCCGGTTCGGACTGGCTGTTACCGGTGGCCCTGTTGCCACACGCTTTGCCGACAATATGAAGCGGCCAACCACAGATGGGGCTATCCTTGTCGCGAATGTTTAGCAATGACCACAAGAACTGCTCATTCTTGGCATTGGCGAGTGGCGCGTGGTTATTGATGTGCTCAATGCCAGCCCTGAGCTCTTCAGGACTAGGGTCCCATTTCATCTCACCATCACTGTTGGTTTTCACATTGGTAATGCTTTTTTGCACAAGAGCTTGTGTCATCCACATCTCACCTGGTATGCGTGACAAGAGATAGAGGAAGGCCTTCTTCAGCAAGTCGGAGTTATCGGAAACAGCGTAGTTCAAGACTTTGACCTCCTGGGCGCAAAAGGCTTTGGCAAGGCCAAGCGGAACAGGGACCTTCGAATGAAAGAACTTCATCACGGTATAGGTGTCGTTGTCCTGATTGGGCCAAATCACAATCTGGAGCTTGCACTGATCCCCAAGCGCATCTCGTGGACGAACAGAATCGGGTAAGTGACCTATGCGGTTTGGGTCTGAGTTCATGATCTCCACGATGGTCTGGTAGTCTGAGGCAGAGACATTCTTGACTACGTGGAAGAACTCCTTGAACTTCTTACCCTTGACGAGGGGCGAATCTACAAGAGGAAGATCTTGGATACTGTGCTCTCCTTCGGTGATCTTGCTGTACTTATGAATGTCATAGTACTGGACATAGGTGTATTTGGATGCGGCCATAGCTTGGTCCATCGCGCGGAGGGGCGACAGTGCTAAAGCTAGCTATGTACGGCTACACGATTTCCAGCTAGCTTTCTTTTGAGAGCATCGAATCAGACGTTACATTCAAGACAAACGCCGTGTTTATAAACAAGGCGGGTGTTTATAAACAGCCCTTGTGTGCAGACAGCGGTTGCTCAACATGCGCAGGCACCAAATGAATAAGTCTCACACTGTTTTGCTACGTGAAAGACGCCACGTCTCGATACTGCTGCAAATCTCCTGCTCAGGAGCTATCCGAATCTACCTCATCAAAGCGATGCTTTGCGGCATAGATGCTCTTGAAGAGATTCTTCAATGCCTGTGTCCGTTTGTTTGAACCGGCGCAGTGCCGATTCAAGACAGTCGTCTGCTGCCAAAGGTCATGCCATTCGGACCCCCATTGACTAACATCTATCACGGGAAGCGAACTGCTGCTGGACGAGTCATCCGAAGAAGTAGACGCGCACTCCGCCTGATCGGACTCAGCAGTGGCTTGCAGGGGAGTCTCTCCATTCTCCGTCAGGGGCTGCTCATGGTCCATGTTCTCCAAGGTCTTGGAAGAAGAGGGCTGTTCTACGTCTTTGCTCGCTTGGGCCGCTGGGGTCTTGGAAGAAGACGGCTGCTCCACGTCCTTGATCGCCAATGGCTTTGAGGAGGAACTCTTAGCCCCTTTCTTCGGTGCTGCGAACCAACGAAGTAGTAGTTCTTGAGCCTTCTCAGACCAACCGCCAGAGATGCCGGCAGTCAAAGAGAGCTTGTTCTGCAAGTAGCACATATGGCTCTGCAGCTGTCGCGGCGTGAGACCGATCTTACTCTCGTGTGCACAAATGGCACCAGTTGAGACCTGGTCCAAGAGGCTCTGTGGAGTGGGGAGAGGCACTGTCGTCGATGTCGTCTGCGTCGTCCCAGATGTCGTTGTCGTTGCCACGGTGAGGTTGGCCAGCTCCAAGCGGCATGTGCCGTCGCCTATCTCTATGAAACCAGCTACGGCAGCAGATCTTTTCATATCTGCGAACTCTACTGCTACAGGACTATACTCGAGCAGAATGACTGCCCAGCGTATAAGATCAGACCTTGCGCGATGGCATGGAATTAGTTCTTGAGCCGTAGGCGTAAAAAAAAAAGTTCCATTGCAGCCGAGGTGCTACAGTAATGTATAACAAGACAGATAAACAGTTATTTTAAGTATAAGTCGTATAAAGAATCGTACTCTAAATGTATTATAGAATGATATAATGGAGCAATTCAATCACAGCATTGCATTCGCAAAACCGCAAAATTGCAAAGATAAACTAGCGAAGCGAAGGTGTTGATGTCGTTGCTGTCGGCGTACCTGACGCAGTAGAGAAAGGGGAGGGGGGGGGTAGCAGGTCTCAACATGTCAGCCCCAAACCCTCAGCCCCCCCCCCCCCCCCCCCCTCCCCCTCTTTCATCTTAGTTTGTAAACGCCAGCCCTGGTTATAAACACAAGCCATGCTTATAAACACAGACACTGTTTATAAACACAGGCCCTGCTTATAAACAACAACATTATTGATGCGAACGGACTGCGATGCCTTGTCAAGTTCTAAGGTGTCACTATAAGAGCTGTGAGCAAGACCGTGTAAAGTGCAAGAGAAGGGGGCACGCTACGCGTCCCTCGACTCTAGGGGGCATGCTACGCATCCCTCATCTTTACCTTTCTATGTGACCGCCAACGCAACGTTTGGCTCAAGTCAATGCCCATAGCTAAGTGCTATATGTGTCTTCTATCCTGAGCAATCAGAGCTATCCCGTTGCACAGACGAACCGCCGCCGGCAGTGAGTGCAAAAGGAACGGCCGCCGGTTCTGCCTGCATAGGATTGCACGTGTGGAAGTAAGAGGGAGAGACAGGGTCCAGTCTGTGGAGAGTGCTAGCCAGCCACACCTACATTCATTACAGCTCTGGTGGGGAGAGCAGCAACCAAGTCGAGATCAATCCCCCACGCAGGTTATCAGCCGTACGCGGCTCTGCCTTTCTACAGCAACGACTACTTGATCTACTACGACCACAATGAACTCAGGATCAAGCCAAGATACGACAATGACTTTCGGTGCCGATGTGGCAGCGCCAGCCGTTGGTGAGTCAACAGCTGATGACACAGTGGTGCAATCCGTTGATAGCTCCACGGAAGATGACAAAGGTCAATCTTCTGCGCTTGCCATTGCAAAGGCAGTTCCCAAGGGGAAAGCAAAGAGTCTACCAAGAGCATCTACGCCTTCGCGTCCGACATCCACAGGTTCGAGGACGGGCAAGGCTTCAGAACGACGGGCCGAAGCGTCTGGTTTTCAGGCACCTCGGACTACGTCCAGGGCCAAGGACAAAGGAGTCAAGACCTTGGAAAAGAAGTCAAGACCATCATCTTCGAGAAGCTCTTCAGCACGATCGAGGACTTCGGCTACTCGTGGGCGTGACAAGTCCATGACTTGGAATCGGATGGTTACCAATCAACCACGCGATGCTGACGATCTGGATATGACTCTGGATACGATTCCTGCACGTGGTGATGCGTCGTCCGTGGCCACGCCTGCCATAGCTGATGGTCCGAATGCCTACCAGGAACTGACGATTTCGCAACAGTTCGAAGCATCGAACCTTGCACAGCAGATGTACTATCGCAGTCAGGTGCAAGAATACGAAGGAATCGTCCAGACCCTGATGGACAAGATCAAGGAGATGCAACAAGAAGATGAAGGATCTGGAATTCGCATTGAAGAATTGGAACGACAACGTGACCATGCATGCTTAGCCATGAGGCACATCAACAATGTCAATCAGGAGATGAAGCGAGACTATGAAACAGCTTTGTTTCGCATGGATGAACAGAACTCTGCTCAACAACGTCAAGCACATGCCGTTGCCGAGGAGTTAGCTCAACAGCTACACGTGTTCCGCACGGAGGCAGCCACTAACTTTGTGCAGTTGGAGGCAAGAGCGCAAGGCGATGGTGAGCTTATGGCACGTGAGTATGAGCGTCTGACTCATGAACTTCATGAACATGCCAGAGAGAACTTGGTCCTCCGGTCAAACACAGCAAGTTCGGAACAAGCCTTACAAGCAATGCAGGAACGATTCCACTTGGTCAAGAACCAGGAGTTGCGGGCTGTGAACGAGATCCAAGGGCTAGCTGGAAACAGCGCAGCCATTGATCAAGAACGATTTCGGCTTCGCGAACGTCTTGGTGAAGAGGAAGAGTACCGCAAAATGGCTGTGAAGAGGATGCAAGAAGCAGAGGATCGACTTCATCAGAATGAAGATCATGCAAGGCGATCATTGCCTACCTTGCACGACGAGCTGAGTGAACTCAGGAAAACGCTCAAAGCACAAGAAGATCTTCAAGCGAGGACACGCAGCGAATTGGAGGCAGCGCGAAACTCCAATCACGGAGGAGCGACACGGCCTTCGAGCATGCCCATGTCTTCGAGGACTACTGAGTCTGGCTGGGAGCACGTAGGAAAGGAAGTAGTGCCTGCATTTTCCGTAGGAGGTGAGGTACGATCCCCTGAAATACGGTCCCCAAGTCAAGTTAGTCCAGTCGCCAAAGAGAAGTTCGCATTCTCGGAATCGGACAAGGACAAGAACCTTGTGATGGATGGAATTCCATTCACCGGTGGAAACTTCTTCACTGGCCGCAGTTCAATGCCAATCGTGGCGGATGCAATGCCCGAGCACTACGTGCCAGGTATTAGCAGCCCAGCACTTGCGCGTTCCACGCCTAGTGCAGCCACTTTGTTCGGCATACCAAGCGGATTTCATGGGAAAAGTGATGCGGCAGCCGTGCGTGATCGACAGCTACGCGAACTCTTGGAGGATCGCGGGATGTTGGGATCGAAGTCCACAGCATCTGCCAGCTCCTCAAGACCTGTTGGTATCGACGGTGTTACCGCATCTACGAAGGGCAACGACCTCATCGGTCCCCCTATTGCCTATGACGATTCCATTCATGAAGCAAGGAGACGTCAGATCGAGAAAGAGGTCGCGGAACGGTACGAGGAGAAGATTGCCGATCTGCGAAGCGAAGTACTCAAGGCCCAGAAAGCCGAACAACGTCTCAGAGCTGATCGTGATGAGTGGAAGTTATTCGCTGAAACGATTCAGGAGGATAATGGAGACGATGACGGCGAGGGTGGCGACGAAAACGAAGATGGAGAGCACGATGAAGGAACCGGCACGGGGTATGACCCTCCTGACCCGCCTGACGATGATGATGATAAGAAGAAAAGCGGTGGAGGCAAACCTGAATCGGATCCTGGCTCGCATGCGCGTGATCCTGATGGAGACGCGGATCCTGAAGTCACAGAGGTGAGAATTTCCAGGAGGGAAGCCGACAAAGTGACCGTTCCTCCATGGCCTACTCTCACTCATCTCAACAACTGGCGATCCGTGTGCACGGCCAATGTCTTAGGGGCATCAGCCGACCCACATCATGAGGACTGGATGTTATGGCTGGCACCAGCGTTCAACCCATTCCCTGATGTCGAAGCATTGAATGATTCAGGACACAAGAAGTTCAAGAGCATAGACGTCAAATTGGGGATCGCCATGGTCGCAATGCTACGTGCCGGTGGTGACAAATCAGCTGACCTGTACCTTGAGGTGAACCGGAAGGCTAACGATTACATCAGCAGGCCCGACGGGAAGATCATCAAAGGACGACAAATCATTGCGATGATGTATGAAAGTTTTCGAACGCACGATCGTCTCGACATGATCATCACTCTTGAGTATTTGGTGAAGCTCCAGTACCAAGGCGACAACAAGCTTCATACGTTCAAGCAGACGTGGTTGGAAGTTCTGGGACGGATGAGACCAGAGGACATTCCATCCAAAACAGCTCTCCGTGATTGCTTGTACAGCAAGATCAAGGACTCGCCCGCAATGAAGATGGAGTTGGGCATGCATTACGAACACTTGCCCTACAATCATGAAGACCGATCGTACGACAACCTGATGAAGATCATTGACCGTACT